CAAAATGTCAAAATATTTCCTCGAATCGAAATCATTCAAATCATTTCCTAAATACGCCAACTTATACGGCGAAAACCAACATTGACATCACAATTTGACGCTAGAAATTTTTCGAAAATAATAACATTTAATTTTCGGAAATTAATTATTTAATAATAAAATATTAACATTTAATCCGAAATTTATCATTTAATAATAAAATAATATTTAATTCCGAAATAAATTCATTTAATAAAGTAATCTAACAATAATAAAATAATTAATAACCTATCATCAAAGATCATCTAATAATCCAACATTAACTTAATCTAAACCTTAATTAAACTACCTAAGCAAGTTTAACACCCTAAACACGGGATTAGGGGTTAACTTACACAATTAACGCCGGCGAAGGTGCGAGGACGACGGCGGCGACGAGGGCGATCCGCGGTGGTTTCCGGCTCGGACTCGGCGGCCGGCGGACGAACCGGCGAACGGAAACGACGAAGAAGCGGCCGCTGTGGTGGCTGGTCCGGCGGCTTGGCGGAGCCTGAACACGGCGGCTGGACGAGGCGGAGTTTGGCCGCGGCAGACGCTCGGTCGAAGTTCGGGACGGCGGCGAGAGGAGCCGGGCAGGGGCGAGCCGAACAGAAGCAGGAGCGGAGGCTAGAAGCTGCGGCGTCGGGGGAGGGGAAAGCGGCTGGCGAAGCCTGTCCGCGGCGAACGAGCTGCTGGGGGCAAGGCGCGGCGGTCAGACGGTGCGCGGCGGCGATGAGCGGCGGAGGTCAGTCCGGCGAGGGGCAGAGGAGCAGCGGCGTGACAGACGCAGGAGCAAGGAGCCAGAAGCGGACGCGGAAGAGAGGAAGAAGGAAGAGAAAAGAAAAGGAAAAGAAAAAGAAAAAGAAAAAGGAGATAAGGATGAGAGAGAGGAGTAGGTGGGCGTGTCAGGCACGCAAGGGGGGGAGGGGGAAGCCGGCGGAAAAGAGGGGAGGAGAGAGAGAGAGGAAAAGTAAAAGTCAAATTGCAATAATCGCGATCCAACGGTCACGATTCGAATCCAAAAACGATCTAACGATCCTCAAAAAATCCTAATTAATAATTTGGGATTTGGCCAAAGGGTATTAATAAAAACACACCGCAAAAGAGGTCTACCGGTCCAAATCGGTACCCAGTCAAAAACTCACTTTCCACATATCCCGTGCAATATCGAGGTGGGCCACAATAATATCGACACCGTCCAATTAAATTCGTCCTGGAATTCCGAGAAATTCGACACCAAAGTTTGGGCTCTAAATAACGGCTAAATTCGATCGAGTGCGATTCTAGCGAAATCTCAATTTTAAAAACAATAACCGGGAGTGATCAGTTCCCGGGCGAGATTTTACTATAAGCACACTGACGAATTACACGTTTTATAAATCCCAAAAATCGGTCGAAATTCGGAATGTCACAGATACCTTACGGAATTGTTGATTTCTATTACTTTGACCATCGTGGAATCTGCATACACCATCTCTTTCTAATATCGAATTTGTAAAATTCTATACAATCTTGAACCTGTGTATCTTGCACTCACTGCCTATTTCTATTTGAATGTTGCATTCCTCTATCCAAATCATCTTCGATCCACTATTTGTGATGTTTTTTATGATCTTAATGTGGAGGAGTTAGCTAAAATCATCGGTGCACAATATTCTCAATTTACACGTATTGCTACTACCCCTAAACAATCCTACCGAAATCCCATTGAATATTATAACTTCACTAGAGAACTTAAATCTCATGTTTATCAAAGTAGTCTTTCTCTTACATACGGAGATGGAAAAGAAAAAGTTATAGAATTCCCTATTCCTAGTGTGGTTGAAATTAGAACTGCTGTAGCTGAACTCTAATCGCTACTTCTAGTGAGAATGAAAATTGTTCCAAAGGGAAGAAAGATAAAGATGAGGAAGACTACAGTAGTTTAGCTACAGCAGTTCTAATATCTCTTTTTTATTGACCATAGAAGTTGAAGCTCGTAATAGAAATCAATAATTCCGCAAAGCATCACTCCTCTATCATGCTCCTAGTGTTGTTGAAATTAGAATTGCTGTACTTGAACTCCAATGGCTACTTTTAGCGAGGATGAAAATTGTACTAAAGAGAAGAAAGACAAAGATGATGAAAAGTTCTTTGACAAATTTGAGATAAACTTTGGTTTTATTGCCATGCTGTTGACACCTAAATTTTAATTATTCATTTAATGTTTCATTGCATAGAAAATTAGGGATTAATTTTTAACCCCTAAACAAAAATAATTCTCATTAAATTGCATAACATGTAGACACTAGGTGCATTTGTATTAATATAATTTAGTAGAACATATTTTCCCTTTTCAAAGTATTATTAAACTTTTTTCCAAAAAAAAAGAAAAAAAAGGGGAAAAGACAAAAGGGGAGCTCTTCCCCATGGACTGACCCGGAGCGGGTGTCTTCTCCCTCCTTCTCTATTCACAGTTTCACAAAAGAAGCAAAAGGAAGGGAAATGAGAAGTCAAAAGAAAATGACAAAAAAAGAAGAAGCTTTCTTCTTTCTTTGACTGACATGAAGGGCTCTCTCTCTTTGACCGTGTAGTCTATTCACCAAAAGAGGACGTTCTGCACATACTTAAAAAGGGCAGAGGGGTGAAGCAGAGAGGGTGGTGAGTTTTTGAGAAAAGGAGGGGGAGAGATAGAGAGAGGGGGAAGGCGAGAGACAGACGGGAGGTAGAGCAAGAGAGAAAGGGCGAGAAAATCCATCCCGCTCGCCGGAATCGCTGTGAGTTCGTCGGAGATCCACCTACTGGCCGCCATTTGTCGCCAAAAAGCCACACGAACCATGTAAGCTCCAAAAATGCTCTGTTTTTCCCCTGCCTCGCGGGAACCAAAGACGCCGGATCTGTTCGGTGATCTTCGGGTTCTTTCAATGGAAGTTTATAGTGGTTTGATACTGATTGAGGTCAACCTGAACATCGTATGTCGAAAAAATTCCTTGAACCTTGTTAAAGTCGGACCTGTAGCTCCATTTCCGAGTCGCCTCCCTTGTGTTTGATAAAATGCCTCACTGAAACCGTGCTAGCTTAGAATGTCAAATCTGGTCGTGTCGATTTTTAGAGTTTCTTTGTAAACTGGAACAGCTTTGTGGTAAGGTATGGTTGTTTATTGCTTTACACATCATGTCTGAGCCAAAAATCACGTTCAAGACCAGTCTTAAGTCTCTGTTCGACCATGCCTACCACCTGTTTGACAAAATTCCTAAATGAAGCTGCGAATCTGTTTTTGCGAAACCGACACCCCAAAGTAGGGGTGTCAGAACTGAACCGAAAAACCGAACCGAGATACGAACCGAACCGATCCGAACTGAAAATTTCATGCATTTCGGTTCGATTTCGATTTCGGTTTGAATAATCAAAATTAACTAATTTTTTTTTTCAATTTGATTTATTTCAGTTCGGTTCGGATCAGTTCGGATTGAACTGAACTGAAATAAACAATTCAGTTTTAGCCCTAAAAAGCCCTATCTCGCCCAGTCGCCCTCTCTCGCGCTCGCATCTCCCTCTCTCCCTCTCCCTCTCCTCCTCGCCGCTCCACCTTCGAAATTCGCGACTCCCCCCTCCGGCTCCGCCGCCGCCGTCGCCGCCTCCGACGGCCGCAGCTCCCGCCGGGATCACGGGCCCGAGCCGGGCGTTTTCCTCCGCCGGTCCGCGCGACCGAGCCCTACCGAGACGAGATTGTGACCGAGCCCCGCCGCCGTCACCTTTTCCGTTCATCGGTTCCCTGTCGTCGGCGGCGGCTCTTGGTGCAAGGGCATCGGCGGTATCATCCCCATCACCGAAGGAAACCTGTTCGCGCCTGTTCAACAAAGCTCCGGTTTTGCTGCACGATTCCGAAGCTGATTCGCGGCCGCGACAAACCCAGAGAGTTCCCGAGTGTTCTTCTTGTTGGGATTTTGGCACCAAAATCCCATAGAATTGAATGAGAAGTGTGTGAGTGAAAGTGTCCCACATAGGGTAGAAGAGAGATGGGAGATGGGTTCAAATAGTTGAACCTCACAAATGGGTTTGGGTCCCAAGCAGTATCCCACTTTTGTGGAAGAGAGAGGACTTACGTCAAGTTAGGTCGGTCCACCTCGCGCGCGCCGCCGCCCGTCCGGCTCGGCTCGGGTCCACTCTCTATCGATTTTTATTTTTTCCGAACAGACACGTTGTTTAGAATTTATTTATTTATTTATTTATTTATTTTTTGGACAAATACACATGTCTGTTCGTGAGGTTCCCGAACGGAAAACCGAAGCCCTTCGCGACTGTTTACGAACCGAACCGGTTCAAGTGAACCTTCGCTACTGTTCACGAAAACTCGCAACTCTTCATTTTTCGCCACTTGAATAAGACCGAACAGTTTAGTTCGGAATAGACATCACTTCGTGGCATTCATTTTTTCCCGACGCACTCTACGCATATTCACTTCATTATTGTCATTTGGTGCGATTGTTCTGCAAAATTGCGTTCGTTGGAGTCCTCCGAATACGTACCGCTTCGGAGGAACGAGATCCGTTCTATCCTGGGAGATGATTGTCCAATATCCTCGGGTACTGATTGAGGGGCCAAATTCGTCTTAAGGACACGACGTTAATTCGTTGGGCTCGGATCAATATTCTGCTTATTTGGTTGTACTGCTTTCAGGTTAGTTTTCCTAACGTTTGATTTTAATCTCTGATATACGAACTTAGCCGAACAACACTTCTTTGGGGTGAAAGGTTAGGGCTTCGATGTTTTTGTTGTTCTGGTATGCGTTTGATAGTGTGGATTGGCTGATTGTGTTATATGTGGATTATGATAGTCTCAGAGAATTGGAATGTGTTGAACGGAGTACCCTGCGTTGCTGTTGTTCTATACTTGCTCAATAAAATCATGAATTAAGTTAATGGTTCAGTGCAGTTTTGCTATCTGATTTTCGCTTTTGCTTTAGATCGGTTTATATTCTTATGTTGCAGTTAGGAAATATGGTGGGTGAAATGTATGCTTTTCAATTTAGTGGAGTTTCGCTATCTGAATTCCACTTTTGCTTTACCTGGGATCGGTTTAGATTCTTATCTTGCTGTGGGGAAGCATGGTAGGTGAAATGTATGCTTTTTAATTCGTATAATTTCATATGTTCTACTTGTCATAGAAATCCATTCTAAAGTGAGCTACCCTTGGGGCACTGTTGTGGCATTTTAACCATTTACACGAGGTGAATTGTCAAAACTAGTTTGGAGACTGGGCTAACGTTTGTCCCTCATTTTTCAATATAAGATTGCATCAAGCGCCTTTTAGTGAATATGACCATCGTATAGATTGACTATGAGAACACTTAGAACTGGAGAAGAACGAGCCCTGTATTCTGTTGCAATTCGGAAATCTCATTAAACGAATGGGAAGTGCTTGATGAACTTTTTATCGTTATATATATGTAGATAGATTTCTAGATGGGATTTGATAATTATGCATCTTGTGCTTGACTTGTTCCTGGATATACTGTTGATTTGTGGAGAAGGGACTGTTGCGAAGTAATGGGAGATTGGGAACTAAACCCTTTTATAGTCAGGCAGGGGATACAGTTGAACATTTTTGCAGGATCTGATTCTATATAAGTTAGCGGGGGTGTTTAATGTGGTTCTGAGTACCTGTGGAGGGCTTAGGTGCTTGACGACATGTTAATTGGAATTGTCAAATCATGTTTTCTTTTTTTCTTATTCCTTTCACCTGTTTTTTTCTGTTGATATCTTGTTACGTAACATGTAAAGAGGATCCTTGTCACTGAGCCTACTTATTGGCTAAGGCCCAGCTGTTGTTATTGTTACATTCCCCAATCCCATATAATATATTGAATGATCATCATGTATTTTCCTGCATTGCTATCCATGTTTAACCTCAATATTGTTCAATTATTGATGTTGACCTTCAAGTTACTGTCAAATACTACTCAATGCTGATGCATCATCTTGCTTCACTGTACCCATTCCTCGCTTTGGCAAAGATCTATTAAGGCCAATGAACTCACCCAATGTAGCTTGTCTTGGACAAATTAAGAAAACATTATAGAGTAGTTAATACGGTTTAGCTTGTATGCCAATATACTGAATGCTCAGTTATGCTTATAGTGCAGGAGATCACTGAGTTTTCATGAAGTGTATGTCGCATTGTGTTGTTTACCGGGCAATGGATGTTTGTGGGCTTCCTGGAGCATTGTAGGCGGGTTGCATTCACATCAAGGGCCCTTTGAGGAAGCAGAGTACATAGTCTTGTGTATACTATCACTGTATATATCTGATGGACACAGATAGAAGCAGCTGTTTCTTTCTTTCATTCTGTGAGTGCAGGCTAGTTCCAAAACCAATTTTTTTTTACTCCTATACCTTATATCAGAAGGACCTGTCTTTTATCCGCTGTTAGTTTATGAAAGACCCCAAACAATATGCTTTTGGTCAGTTTGGCTGATTTTAAGGAGCATTAGAGTAGATCACTGCGGTTGAGCAGCGAAAACTTCCTGTAGCTTTCTTCTTTCTGTTAGACGTTGAGCGAAAGTTGCTGATATTTTGAAGAAGGCAGAGCTTGGATGATGATGAAAATGATGCAGATGCATCACTGTGTAAATGATTGTCTTTCCTGAAAAGCCCGCTTTAGGAATACAAATCAGTAGATTAATTCAATGACCACAAGCTACGTATAAGCGCTCCACGTGCAGTTAGCTCCAATTCTCCTTTTATTTGTGAGATCATATCACAAATAACTTGTCTATAGGATTATATTGACCTTATATAACATGGTACACTTTCCATTATGTCAATACGCATACGAGGAAATGCAGAATGAGTTCACAAAAAGTGAATTGATTGTAACTTAAAGTTTCGACTTCATTCTTTTTTAATTGGGACGAAAATATTCAAGCCCACATTGAGGTATTGAATGACAATTTATATAAAAAAAAAAGAGACAAGATTGGACGTATCAAACTGAAATGACTAAAATAGTAATTAATGTAAGAACTCACATTTATAAGGTAATCGAAATTATAAATAGTTGAATAGCGTAAATGACTAAAATATTTTTATAGGAATAAAAAGCAAAAAAAGAAAAGAAAAAGAGAAGAAAAAATAGAAAATCGAGCCATGAATAAAAAGCAAAAAAAAAGAAGAAGAAGAAACCGAAAACTGATCCGAATCGAACCGAACCAAATCGGTTTTTCAGATCGGTTCCAATTCGGTTTGGTTCAGGGGTGCTTTCTTAACGGTTCGGTTCGGTTCAATTTTTCAAGAGAATCAAACCGAACCGAACCAAACCGTTTACAGCCCTACCCAAAGCTTTGTTATATGCTTGAGTGGTTCTAATATAGTTACTAACTTTGTGCTTTCCTTCGATTTTGTGGTATATCGTTCGATGTCCGAGTCGGTCGAGGATGAAACCTTCGCCGGAGGAGCCATTCCCCTCACCGGAGGAGCTTGCAGTTTGAGGACGCCTCAGTCAGTCCTATATTTCCTCAGCCTTTGGTGTGTATATATGTGTTTGATTTGCTGGAATGGCGTTTGTTTTTTTTAGGGAAAATTTAGGCACTCGGATCGATCTACGGATCGCGGCGATCGAGGGATCCCCCGCGGGGCCGTCGTCACCGGTGATGCTTGCGGCCTTTTGGCTTCGGTTTTGGGTGGTGGGTTTGATGGGTTCCTCCGCCTCCTCTTCTCCTCCTTACTCTTTTCTCTCTGCCTTCTTCTTTCGAATCACCGCCCTTGCGGCGAGGGCCGTGGCCGGGCCGTGAGGCCATCCTCGTTGGCCGCCGGCGCGGCGACCCTCGCCGAGATCCGGTGAGGGTCGACCTCGCCGGCCGGGCGAGTCCGTCCTCGCCGGCCGCCCAAAAGAGGCCGTCCCTCAACGGTGGCCGGCCGAGGGCGACCTTGGCGCCCCTCCCACCATCGCTCCCGGATTGACGGCATCTTTGGTCGTTCTTGAGCTCACCTCCCTCTTGGGTCAAACGAAGAAGAAGATGAACAGGGAAGAAGAGTGAAAAAAATAAATAAAATACTTTTGGACGAAAATACCCCCGCCTAAGTTGCCGGAATAAGAATCGGTTCACGGTCGGAAATCGATCCTTATTTGAGACTAAATGATTACTTCAGTCCTTATTTGAGATAAACTCTACTTCGGATCCTTTTTTGAGAAAAGAAGAGCACTTCAGGTTCCTTTTTGAAATTTTCCCTTTTTTTTATGAGTGTTTTTGGTGACATTGACGTCGCCGGAATGGGCCAATGTTGGCTGGAGTGGTGGCCCGAAAGATGACCAACGGAGATGACCTGGTGGTGATCGGCGATGTTGGCTATTGACGTCGACGGCTGGAGGTTGACGTCGACGGCCCGAAAGATGACCAACGGAATGGGCCAATGTTGGCTATTGACGTCGACGTTGCCAGGGAAGTTCGCCGGTGGAGAGGTTTCGGCGCGGTCTCGGCGTTGAAGAAAGGCGTGAGGAAGTCTCGGTGAAGAAGAAGGTGAACAGTAGAGGGGGGAAGAAAAGGAATAAAAAATTAAAGAGAAAGAAATAGGGGAAAAAGACAATTAGAAAAAGCCAAAGAAAAATAGAAAAAGAAATAAAAAATTAGAAAAGAAATAGAAAGAGGGGTCTCGTGCGGGTCAGAGAGCCGGGTCGGATCGAGTGAGGGGACCCGGTCCAGAATGCTTATTTTATTAATAAAAAACATTAAAAAAATTAAAAATTCAGAAAAATTTCGAAAAGTTCAGAAAAATTAGGAAATGTTTAGAAATCGGTTTTTGAGTTGATTTCATTAGATTTTAGTGTTAATTTCATTCTAGACTTAGCATAGAAAGAAATAGAAAAAAAAGTGAACCTTTAAAAATTGCTCCAAAAATCGAACAAGCCATTAAGGCTTTACCTTATGGCCTTTGATTGCCTTTTCCTTTTTAGAGACAATGGTAGATCGCCGGTTATTTATTTTCATGTTGATTATTAGATTGCGCACATTTAATACATTGGTTGTTATTTTTCATTTTTAGCATGGTTAGGATGAGCTTTAGGCTTCTCGATAGGCTACCCTAGTGCGTTGGTTAGCAAGCGATCAAGTTTAGGTACTGAAATGGCACTAGTTAGATCACTAGTATAATCAAGTCTCCGATCTTTAGAATCTCTAGTTACATACGTATTGATATGACACTCTCACGTCTCGATGAGGGTTTTTAGCCAACCCTTGATTATGGCTAGTGGCGACTCCAATTGAATACATAGTTTAGACAGTTCTCGTCGCATGAGGTATGAGGCTTGGGAGCACCTCGGTCCTTGGATTAATGAACTATTTGGTTTGTCCTTCAAACGAATCAATCAATGTTCACATCCATCGACAAATACCTTTAGACCCATACATTTTTATTCCTCCTGATCGGGACGGGTAGGTCGTGACACATGCTTGGATATCAGAATAAAACTTTCAGGTCAAAAAAACATTCGGAATACTACAATCTCCCTCTTGCAGAGGAACAATGTCTTGCGGAACTATTGATTTCTCTTACTTTCACCATCATGGAATTTTCATACACTATTAATTTCTAATCTCGAATTTGTAAAATTTTATACAGAGTGTTGAACCTATGCAGGATATTTCTATTCAAATGTTACATTCCTCTCTCCAAATCATCTTCCATTCACTCTTTGTGATATTTTTTATGATCTCGTTGTGGAGGAGTTGGCTAAAATCATCGGTGCACAACATTCTCAATTTACACGTATTGCTACTACCCCTAAACAAATCTACTGAGATCTCATTGAATATTATAACTTCACTAGAGAACTTAAATCTCATGTTTCTCAAAGTAGTCTTCCTCTTCATACGGAAATGGGAATGAAAAAGTTATAGAATGCCCTGTTCCTAGTGTGGTTGAAATTAGAACTGCTGTAGCTGAACTCCAATGGCTACTTCTAGCGAGGATGAAAATTGTCCTAAAGGGAAGAAAGACAAGGATGAGAAAAAGTTCTTTGTCTAATTTGAGATAAACCTTGGTTTTATTGTCATGCCTGGATATCAGAACAAAACTTTGAGGTGAAAAAAACATTCGGAATACTACAATTCTCTCTTTGCCAGAGGAGCGATGCCTTACGGAACTGTTAATTTCTATTACTTTGACCATCGTGGAATCCTCATACACTATCTTTTTCTAATATCGAATTTGTAAAATTCTACACTGAGTCTTAAACCTGTGTATCCTGCACTCACTGCCTACTTTTATTCAAATGTTGCATTTCTCTCTCCAAATAATCTTCGGTCCACTATTTGTGATGTTTTTTATGATCTTAATGTGGAGGAGTTCGCTAAAATCATCGGTGCACAACATTCTTAATTTACATGTATTGCTGTCATCCCTAAACAATCATACCATGATCTCATTGAATGTTATAACTTTACTAGAGAACTTAAATCTCATGTTTTTCAAAGTAGTCTTCATCTTAAATACAGAGATGAGAAAGGAAAAATTATAGAATCCCTTTCTCTTGGTGTGGTTAAAATTAGAACTGTTGTAGCTGAACTCTAATCGCTACTTTTAGCGAGCATGAAAATTGTCCTAAAGGGAAGAAAGACAAGAGTGAGGAAAAGTTATTTGACAAATTTGAGATAAACCTTATTTTATTGCCATGCTTGAATATCAGAACAAAACTTTCAGGCCAAAGAAACATTCGGAACACTACAATTCTCCTTCTGCCAGAGGAGCGATGCCTTACGAAACTTTTGATTTCTATTACTTTGATTATCATGAAATCTTCGTACACTATCTCTTTCTAATCTCGAATTTGTAAAATTCTACATAGAGTCTTGAACCTATGTATCCTGCACTTACTGCCTATTTCTATTCGAATGTTGCATTCCTCTGTCCAAATCATCTTCAATTCACTCTTTGTGATATTGTTGTGGAGGAGTTGGCTAAAATAATCAGTGCACAATATTATCAATTTACATGTATTGCTACTACCCCTAAACAAGCCTATCGAGATCTTATTGAATATTATAACTTCACTAAAGAACTTAAATCTGATGTTTCTTAAAGTAGTCTTCCACTTAAATACGGAGATGGGAAAGAAAAAGTTGTAGAATCCCCTCCTTCTAGTGTAGTTGAAATTAGAACTGCTGTAACTGAACTCTAAAGGATACTTCTAGCGATGATGAATATTGTCCTAAAGGGAAGAAAGACAAAGATGAGCAAAAGTTTTTTGACAAATTTGAGATAAACCTTAGTTTTATTCTAATGCGTGGATATCAGATAAAAAAACTTTCAGTCAATTTACACATATTGCTGCTAGCCTAAACAAGCCTTCCGATATATCACCGAATTGTATAAATTTACTAGAGAACTTAAATATCATGTTTCTCAAAGTAGTCTTCCTCTTCAATACAAAAATGTAAAAGAAAAAGTTGTAAAATCCCTGCTCCTAGTGTGGTTGAAATTAGAACTGCCGTAACTGAACTCTAATGGTTACTTCTAGCAATGATAAAAATTGTTTAAAAGGAAATTATTTCCTTTGTAAAATAATCCCTCCAAAAATATGAGATTTAAGTTCTCTAATAAAAATTTTTCCTTTTAGACAATTTTCATCATCGCTAGAAGTAGCCATTAGAGTTCAGCTACATCAGTTTTCTGTATTTAAGAGGAAAACTACTTTGAGAAAA